GCCGCAGAGCCGTCAGCGCCACGGAGCACCTCACAGCCTCACGCCCCACACCTCGCGTCCGGGGGCACGAGGCCCGACTGCTACACCGCGCAGAAACCGCGGTGCCCACCCACGCCGCAGCTGACGGGATACGCGACGCTCGCGCGCTGGACAGCGCAAACCAAACGGAGCTCTGCTCGTAGCCTTTACGTACTTTACTGTGCAGTACCAAAACCACCTGTCTTCAACACAAAAGGAAAATCCGAACCCGACGTCGCAGCCTGGCAGCGTAACGTCCGTCACCCGCGGTGACGGTCTGCCCCGAACTGCTGCACCCCAGGCGCCACAGCCATTTGCACGCAGCGCGGTAAGAAACTCCCGAAATCGGATAGATAAAGCTTTACAGGAACCTCCCCGTGTCCAAAATGATTTCCTTTATCAAAGGCTTAACGGTGACGTCACATTGCCTCCTCTAGAGTCACGTGTTACATCAGATTGTGCCCAAATACAAAACAAAACCCAAAAGCACCACTTTGAAAGAAAAACAGTGGCTGCAAAGACACCAGGTTTGGAAAGGGATGCCAAGACCGAGCTTTCTTGGGAATACTCTTGCCCCAGCCATGTGTCTGAGAAAGCCCGAGTGAACGTACCCTCAAACCTTGCCATCGCGTTGTTGGTGCCCTCACAGTCCGTTTCCCGAGCCAGGTCACCTCGCGTCGTGCCAGCAAACGGGCTCATCAGGAGCAGGATAAGGCCGGAGGTTTCTCCGACGCGCTGATGGAGCCGAGGGCCGTGCAGGCCGGAAGGAGATCCCAGGCGCTCCAAGGCAGCAACTGGCTTTTCTGAAGTCCGGCCACGACAGGCAGCGCCACGTACGGCCCCCAGCACGCCGGCACTGCCCCAGCTTGGCTCGGCGCCTGGCGGCTGCCTCTACAAACAAGCCCCACGGCTGTACCCCCCTGCACGTGGCCATCTGTCAGCCCCTGGCATTTCACCTCCCTCCCGGCTGGGAATGTTCAAACCCCCTTTTTTCACCTTCTTTTTTTACTAATCCAGTAAGATACTGTTACACCCCATCCACATAGCGCCATCTATAGTATTTATATATAATATTAACATACACATATAGAACTAGGATACTCATATGACCTCTATTTCTGATGTAGTTAACAAAAACAAACAAAACAAACTCAATTGCTGGTGTTTCCAGTTTCCCATCGGAGATGCAGGACCAAACCCTGAGCCGCCGCTCGGTGCCGTGGTTTCATGACAAGGAATTGGGGCAATCGTGCACCAGAGGGGTCCCTGCTGCCTCCCAGCAACAAGCCCTCATCCCACACTACAACCCAGTGAGTGTCTCTGGCTCACGACAGCACAAGCTTGGAGCCTCGTGGGTGAGTTCACGGCAGTCCACGGGTCCGTTCGGTGGCTGCGCTTCCACGTGACAGCAGAACGTTGTAGCTGTGTGCGTAACGTGAGAGAAACCGGACACCCCTGGCACAGGCTGCACGGAAACACCAGTGCCATGTGTCGCGTGGTGCTCGGGGCTGAAAACAGGGGGAAGGAGTAACTTCTGCGCGTGGGAAACCAAACCAAACCCCAACTACCTTCACCGGTCGGTGCAAGAGTCTCGGGGGGGTTTGAGTGGCGGAGAGTGAGGAAGCAGTTGCAGGGACCAGGAGAACAGGGGGATACTGAAGTCTGGGCAAAAAGCACTCGGGTGCGAACTGCGGCACAGCGATGGTCCTGCAGCTATCCTGGCTCAGCCTTCCATAAAGAAATGCCTGGGTTTACGCTGGCTCAAAAAAAAAAAACCAAAACAAAACCAAAAAAAAAGCCCTCTGTCAATTCCAAAGGGAGATCAAAAGGCCATTGGGAGTGTTACTCAAAGGTTTCCCATCGCCTTCTGAGCTGTTCAACCTTACCTGGTGCGGATGACACATCCTGCTTTGTCTTTTTTAACAAATCTTCAAACGGATCTTTTGTCTCCTCAGCTTTTGAGGACAGTAACACTGACTCTAAGCCCTTAGCTGGCCTGGAGGGGATCAAAGGGGGTTCGTTAGACAGGAGCGCTACTGCCTGTTTGGGATCCCCCTTTGAGCTGGCCTGGCCC